CCACAAAAAAAAAAAAAAAAAAATCCTGTTAATCCGATATGAATTTGACTTGCGTGGACTTAATGTGAGGCCATGCATGGTTCATGCTCAGAAGTTATGCAAGGAAAAGTTTCATGCATGCGTCAGCTATTGTTTTTCCATTTAGGTACTTACTACTCCATTACTATCAATTTACATTTATAGCACCTAAACTTTATTTTTTTACATATGTATGCCATCTTATCTTTCAATGAAAATGTGTATTTCACTTTTTAAGAGTCAAAATAGTGGTTATTTTGATGTGATATAAATGATTTGTGTGGTATAAATGTAAAATGTAAAGTTTATGTGTAAGATATGTAAATACATGTGAATTGGGTGGTATATATGGAAATGCCCCCTTCCACTTAGTATTCCAAAGTTTTATTTTACTTTTAAGTTCACGACAGAACCCTAAATGCAGGAAGTATCGTACTTAAAGGAGATTCCTGTGGTGGTCATGTCTTCAGAAAACATCCCAACACGAATAAAGAAGTAATACTTACTCTCTGCTGCCATGTAATTGTTTCATAATGATATAAAATTATAAATTAATTTATAATGCTCCACTAATTCTTGTCCTTCTGTTTAATAGATGCTTAGAAGAAGGGGCCGAAGAGTTCATGTTGAAGCCAATCCAACAATCTGATGTGAAGAGACTGAGATGCCATGTGAAGAGCCTTAACCAGCCTTCCCCTGGCAGGTTATGCCTGGGAATATAAGAGAGCTTACTGAGATAAATAAAACTTATAATTATTAGTCTCTTTTTCTTTAAATATTTCCCGTTTTAATCTTGTTTCAATATTTGAAAATAATTAAACTTGACCTGACAAAGAAACTTTGATGCATCATCAACTTTATTTGCTGGTGTTTTTTAATGAGATAACTGTGGAAATGGAGTTTATTGACACTTGAGTAAAAGTTTACCTATTAACTAAAGCTTTGTGTAGGCTTTAATGTGTTTAATATCATGTGCATATGCTTAACGTGCAATTTATATCTGCTAGTGTTGTTTAATAGGGTGTTTGGTAACCTGTAGAATCATTTTTAAGGGAACGCATGGGAAGTAACTTCTTGGTTTTGTATTGATATTTCTTTAATGATGGTTCATTTTTTTTGGGCCATATGCATACATTCCACATAATTCCTTTGCATTTGCATATCTAACTGCTAAACTTTTATATTTACATGCATAACACTCAAATCTTCAAGGTTTACCTTTTTTAGGTTTATGTGCTTAGATTTATGAGGTGTTATCAGTGAAATATCAAGCTTTAAGTGTTAGATAAGTAAATATATAAGAATTGTGTGGTATGTATATAAATTTCTCTTTTTTTTTGTTGTTAATGTGAAGGAAATGAGAATATGATTAGATATATGATTAGATGGCTTTGTATTTTTTTGCATGCATTAGGATCCACAAGTCCCTGAAGTGCAAAAACTACAATCATTTTTGTTGATATTTCAAAGGATATGTTTCTTCCTATTTGAAGCAAATATGATCACCTTATTTATTACCATCTGTTTTTTATTTATAGTTATAGAAGTGAACATTGTTATTTTCTTAGGAAATTAAGTGCATGAAGTAATTTTTGCTATATTTGACTTTTTTTTGCTCAAGATTAAATAAAGCATGCTAAAGAGCTATATTTAAATTTTATAGATGAAAATTTTATTATTTTAGATATTCTTAGTAATAGGCCTGCATTTAGGTACTTAAAGCGTTGGAACTGTAAATGAGTTTTACCATTGATGTATTTGACTCGACTTCAGCTTTCTTCTGTTTCCTCAATTTCTAAGAAGTGGAGTTGGAGGTCATGGTTTGATTTCTATTAAATGGTTAATGCGGTTTGTGAAACCTATAAGGCTCTGTTTGGCGCAGCTGCAGCTTTACAACTTTTCAGTTGCAGCTGCGCTGTCTCAGGAAGCTGCTGCGGGAAAACTGACTGTCTGTTTGGTGCAGCTGTGTGAAAAAATAACAATTCTACTATTGTTTGGTAAAACTGTTTAAAAAAAAGACTGTAACAATGAAATTTTGTAACTCCATAAGTAAAATTATTATGTAATAAATTAGTGAAACTTTAAAGTGTTAATTATGTAATAAATGTAATTGTTAGGTTATTAGTCAGTAATTGTTATGTAATAAATTTATGAGATTGATTAATATATTTTAAAATTTTAACTTGTTAGATGGGTGAACATATGAAATAAAAGACTTATTATAGGAATGCTCTTATATTCGCTGACACAAATGTATTAAATATATTTTCTATTTAGGATTTAACATATTATTAATGAATTAATTAATTTAACTTATTTTTTATCAAATATCGATGAAAAATTAAAAAGAAAGCCAATTAAAGGGATGTGTGCTCATTTTTTCTCATTTTGAAATACACTTTTATTCATAACTTTTATAACGTATAAGTACACATTTCTGCTATATATTACAACAAAAATTTATCATTTACATAACAAAAGATTTCAAGGAGGTACATGACTACTGTTAAGTCCAAACTTCAATGATAACGATCCATAATTTACATAAATACATCTCAAGTAGCAGGCATAAGGAGAGCAAAAAAAAAAAAAAAAAAAAAAAAAAAACTCTATAACTATTACAATAATTAGTAAGATAATTATATTATTTTTAATTTTTACAAGGTGTAGCTTCCGTGCCAGACTTTGCTCAAGTGATGTTCTCCATTGTCGATCAACATCATCTGGGGAATCAATCGAACCGTCTGCATAGATAACCAATTACAACAAAAGGGAGCATTGCAACCGTGAAATTAATTTTCAAGAAATACAAGTGGAGAACTGATGTTCATTGTAGTGGCATGTATGTAAATGTTCTTGTTTTAGCTCCCATATAACAAAAATAACCCTTTTAAATCCCACCGTGGGTTAGAGCTCAATATAGTAATCCATCAAGTTATGCCTTCCAGTAGCAACATAATCACGTGATGATAGATCAAACAAACCAATATGTTGGGTAGCATTTTGAATTCAAAGATCAAGAATTCACATCATTGCCAAGAACCAGAAAGGTACAAAACCATTAAAACATCACAAAGCTTCAGAGAATATAGGCTCTCCAAAAAATATAAAAGCAAAGTGCCATAAAATCAACATTTTGAAACCCATTTTTTTTCATTTCATAGAAAACTTGGCACGCTTTGAAGCCAGTTCCTCTTATCTTTCCACCATCTGTTTTTATGATCCAGTAACTGTGCAAACCTCAGTGCCAAATGGATCTTCCAAATGCTAGTGTTAGAAAAAGAGCCTCATATTTTTAGCTCTCCAATGTCAAGCTAATTAACAAGTGGGATGAAGGGCTACCTCCAAAGAAATCGTCGTCTTACGTGTTAATAGTATGATTCCTTTAAACTAATAATAATTGAGTACAACTCCGACAAGTTACAAATATAGCACTACAAACATTGATAATTACAAAGCAGACACCCTTTTTCATTGATGTGTTATGTAATTATTCCTGCATAGGGATATTTTAAAAATATGATTTCATAGCACTCTGAAACATTGACATTTACAAAACTGGCACCTATCATCAATCATTTCTCACAATATCACTCAACTATCAAAGTACAAGATAAAACCCACATTTTTCAATTTACTGGTATGGTTCATCTTATGCCTGCTCAACCCAGTAGATAACAGCCCAAAACAACATCAAAAAGGCAGAATATAAATGACATTTGATTTTGTTTCATCACAAAGTCCCATCTTTTTATTCTTAACATCGACAAAGCCAGCAGTTGAACGTAAGATGCACGCGCCTTCCAAGTTGCTTCAGGCCAATGCAAGAGAATATCAAAAAAGCCATAAATCTAAAAACTGTCAGCAAAAGCTATTCCACGCTCTAATAGTTTGGGGGAAGATCCACTTTCATGATGACTTGTTATTGCCTATTTTTTAACTAGATCAAATATAAAAAAAAACTTGAATGTATTTTACATTCTAACAACTTATTACAACAAAATTGGACTGAAGTGAATCAACAACTTTTGAAACTTCTATCTCTTAAGAAGGCGGCAATAAATTTCCAGCCATTATATGGATAAAAAGTTGGAAATGCAAAATATAATTCAATAAGGATATAACTCAACTTTGTTGATGTTCCAATGAAAAATATTCTGCCTGGAAGTGCAAGATAAAAAGTAAAACACATGTTGAAATCACACACTGCCATGACATTTTGGGTGGGGGCTATACAATGCCCGATAAATGCAACTTTCTCATCATTTTTATTCGTGCATCAACATGTGTGTTATCTATTGCACCGATGCAATCCTAAATAGAACCCTCCAGTTAGGCTATGTCTTTTTCTCATATATAAAATTTTTAATTTGAAATTGTTATCCCTACCTTAAAAAATGACAAACTCGTTTTGTGACAATATATACAGAGTAATCGCTAAGACCTCAAGTTTAGTTGTCCTAGATGGCCCATGAAGATCATGAAATCGAGTCATTTCCGCTAATAGATCGGTAAACACCTCATGCGTCATTCAGAACATGTTCCTGAATTTGATTGGATGGTCAATAAGCATTTCTCCAACCTATTTGTCTCTAACATAAGATGATGTGTAGCATGGAGAGCGGTCAATGTAAGTGTTGTAATATTGAATGATCAATTGGATTATTGCATTTCTCCTTCTCTATTTTTCTTGTTCTCAGTCCATGCTGATAAAACATTTTATTTGTGTTACCATAAAAGAGACAGAACTTATTAAATTCAACAAGAATAACATCTCAAGTATAAGCATTAAATAAGATTAAGGGCGTTCGAATAAAAAAAATGCTTGAAATAAGAAATTTCAATATTATTGATAAATGTTCCAATGAAATAGTATTGAAATTAATAAGTATCTCAACAAACTACTAAATAAAAGTCATAATCTCTCATTTCTCTCTGCGAGCATAAAAATGGTGTAGATACACCACCCGTCGATCTATCAAAATCGCTATGAAGAAATCTCTATGGATTGAATCTTGAAGCAACTCCACAACAACAATGTATAGATCGAAGTCCTCAGCAATGTTCGGATTTTCTTCTAGAATTTGAACAACCTCGTTAATTGAGGCTCTTTGAACTTTAGGGGGGGGCGTCGTTGGAAGACTCTATCAGGTATGATATCTGGTTTTTGATAGAGGAAGCTCCACCCTTTTTCTTACTCTCCACACTAGAGCGCTTAGGCTAGTTGGTTGACTAGATTTTAGGGAAATCTTGGCTGTGGAATTCTGGTGAATCAGCTGATAGGCTAACAACAACATTTTCATGTGTACCATTAAACCCAGTCCTGCTTGGAGCACATGCTTATTTGCATGTTGCGACAACACCCCCAAACATTTGGTCTAATTTCTCCTTGAACTCGAGTTCAAGTCCACAAAACTTGAACTTTTTGGCTGCGGGAACCACCTACATAAAAAAAAAAAACCATCAAACCCTTTAGTTAGTATAAAAAAAGTGAAATGACTCAAATTAATTGGTTAAAAAATTCCTTACCACAAGTCTCTCTGTCCACTACTTTTCTGGAGCATCAATGGTACGTTTCACCGGGTCTCAACCCAAACCTGTTGAGCCTCTTTTCAAATCATTCAAAATTTTTCAATCATTTTTCAGTTGATCTCACTCATTTTTCATTTGCAGCTTATCGTAGTCCCTACCTTTGGTGTATTTGGATAACTCATTCACCTTGCTAGCGATCGGAATTCAGACATATCAAGTGGAGAAAATCAAAGGAAGATGGGAAAAGCACACCCTTCACTCTCTATTTATAGAAATCATGTGCACGAAATTTAAGGAAAGTTCAATTATCGCATTATTAAATAATCACAAATAGTGTTCTCTTTCCACATTCAATTACTTTGTTCTTATTGTAGCCTTAACTTTCAATAAGCAAGAAAATTAGGGAAATAAATATGTACATATAAAATTTATCATCACGAATGTCGAGGCAATCTAACATTCCCAAGAAGGAATGACATGACAAAGGGAAGCCCACTATAAAATGACCTGGTGGTCCAGACTAACAATTGACTTTTTGCTAGTCACAAATATCGCCGGGCTAAATCGACAACTCATACGCCCGACAAATATCGCCAGGCTAAATCGACCTCGCCAACCTTAGCCAGAAATTCAATCGACTGCCTAGACCTGAAGGACTGACTGACGACCTCGTCCAAAAGGTTGATCGACAGTACTGATCGATTCATCTCTTCGGCCGGAACTGACCAAGGCCCTGGGACAACAGAGATATAATCCCTAGAATAACATATACAAATCTTCTTAAAATAGGGGCATAAATGTAAGTTCAATTCTTGTACCCCTATGTCTATAAATAAGAGATCATTTTATGAAGAAAAAGTTACACCATTCCCTAATTTTACTGTTCAGTAGAGCTCTCTCTCTCTCTCTCTCTCTCTCTCTCTTTCTGCCAGAAGCTTCAACCCAGAAGCTTTAATAGAAAGAGAGATTACATAAGTGCATAAATTGCCAGAAAAGGGATACAATACAAGAAATACGGGAGAAGCTAGAAGCCAAAAGCCTGCAAAAAGATTCTCCAAAATTATTAAATCTCTCAATTATTCAAGAAGGATTGACAAATGACAAAAATATGGGACTCACTCACTAGAAGAATGAAGAAAAGCTGAAGTGGTGTATTATTTGAAATGATTTAAACAGTGACGTCAAATTGCTCAATTATTAGAGAAAAAATTGTCAGCCATGAATTTTATAGCAATAGCTGATATCTTAGCTGAATGTTATAATTTAGAAAAATTTTATTCTAATCCTGAAATTCTAGGTTGGACAAATATGCAAAGAAATATTCAAGGTTCTATTCGATTAAACGAAGTCATCAATGTTGAAGAACCAACTTCTTCTGAAAATGAAATTAAAGACTTAATTAGTACTTTGACGAAATATTAATTTATGAATAATCCAATAAACTATCCCTCTGTAGATACTCAAATCTCAAATGAAATCAGCACTAGTTCTAATCCAATTAACATTAATACTACATCTCATTTTAACCAATTACCTCTCAGTGTTAGTATTAAAAGAGTACCAAGTCCGAGATCTACTAACAAATCCAAAAATGATAAACAAAAATTACCTGATAATATACCAGAACCTATTAGTGGTCATGGAGTTTATTTAAAAAATTGATTGCTGTAAAAATACAAACGAAGTAATAGACAAATGGGTAATTGAAAATAGTTTAGCAATATATAATTATAACTTAAAAGGAGAAGGCGTGTATAATTATATAGAAAACACATTAACAACAATAAGTAAAAAATGGTTTTCAGGATTATCTTCTGAATAAAAAATATTATAAGACAAACATGTGACTCAAATAATCCTGGAAGTTGGCTTATTGAATATGCAAAATATTTAAAAGGAGAATTCCTATGATATAAAGTATTAACATTCTCAGATGAACAAAGAAGACAAAAGGCATCCCAAGAAGCCAAACACAAATTAACATCTTTAAATATATGCAATATCAGCTACTTAAATGAATATAGTTGTGACTATAAAAAATATTTCTATGATATATTATATGAAGAAAAAGAAGCATATTTAGATATGTATTTCTACAAACTGCCATAACCATATAATATTTTATGGAGTCAAGAATTCAAACAAACGTATCCTAATTATATAGATTTAGGAAGCCGAATACATTTTTCTTTAGAAAAATTAGCTGAAGCTTGCCAACAAATTGATTTACATAAGAAAAATAAACAATATAAACAATCTATATGTTGTGAAAAGACTTAATTCCTCAACAATGAGGATGTCCATTACATAACACCTGTGAGCGCTCTGCAAAAAAGAAAAAGAAAAAATTCTTCAGAAAATCAAATAAAAAATATTATAATCCTAATAAAAGAACCGGAGAAAAGAAAATAATACAAAAAACAAACAAATGAGGAATAATAAATATTGGATATGTAAACAAGAAGGTCATTATGCAAATAATTGCCCTCAAAAAACTAAATTAAGTAATATAAAATCTATTTCAATAATTTAAATGTTAAAACAATAGTTAATTTTTTTTTGAGGTGACATGAAAGTTTTGATTGGTAAGAAATTAAAAAGTAAAATCTTGATGTCATATATGTAAATACAGAAGACTTGGGTGGTATGCATGTAAATTCCCATTATAAATATTACTGAGAACAATCAAATTTCATTATGAAAAATTCACTCAATGAATCATAATTGATCTAAAGCAAGGCCAATGCGAATAGGGGTGTAAACGAGCTGAAAAAGTGTGTTCGTGTTCCGGCTCGTTTGCTTAACGAGCCGAACACGAGCTGTTCACGAACAAAGAGTCCTTTTAACAACCCTAATTATGTAGCCATAAAAAAAGAAGTGTTTGAACAAGATTTAAAAATTATTATTTATATTAAAACATCATTTGAATCTAATTTAATAATTTTTATTCTATTTTCTTAATCAATATTTTAATTGATTATAAATCTTTGTA